ATCTATAATTAGAAGGTACAATTTCAAATAGAAGATTTTCTATGTTAAATTGTGTGGCCTACATGACTAGCGAGTTGATTATCAATATATGAGTCTTCAGCATCACAAATCTGAGAGATAGGGGCAGAATATCTGTAGTCCATGAGGAATCCCAATGTTTCCAGACAGCATTAGAGAGCTCTGATTTTATTTTTATTTTTTTCGAGATTCTCTTGATTTTATTGTTCTTCTAAAAGAATAAAAAGACATTGTTTCCAACATGGGTGAGAACACGTGAGCTGCCAAACTCAGCCAACCTCTGACTTCTCTGCCAAACCTCAGGCAAAGTTAGAAAATTTCATTTTAAACTCAAGGCTTAGTTTTGCTGGTTCTTCCAGAAAATAACTTACTAAAAAGCACAGGCCCTCAGGCTGCACTCCTGGTCCTGACTGACATGCAGGACTCTTGGCTCTGGTGTGTGCAAGCAAAGGCAGCAGAGGACCAACAGGGCTAAGTGGACACCATGTGGAGCATGCTCTGCATTCCCCAAACATGCTTCCAACAACAGCTGTTGTGAGGGCCCTGACTTTAAAAATTCAAGTGTGGGCTGCGATGGAGACACTTGGCCTTCCATAGACTTCCTTAAATGAAGACTGTGAGGACCCACCCAACAAGGTCTAGAGGTTGTTTACAGAAACTGCACCAAAGAATGAAGCAACAATTTTAGAGAAGGCAGCCATGGAGAAGAGCAGAGGGGTTACATCAGAAACTAAGAAAGTTTAGTTATGTTTTTAAACATTTTTACCCATCTCAAATAAGAATCCCAGAGACGCACCCTTCTCTGCTCCACTACAAATCCTCCTGTTGGAAAGGCAAGCATTAGCAGATAGAGTCAGCAGGTCAAAACCTACCGAGAACATGACCACTTTACTGTTAAATTTTCCTACATGAATTGTGCTCAAAATTGACAAATCTTTCCCCTTGCGTAATTTCATGTTGTGTCAAGTATGAGTACTACAGAAAATACAAAAAAATATCTCTGGAGTGTTGCTATTCACAGTGCAGCTGAGCATGCTAAGAAAATCACTGTCCCTGGGAAGGACTCAAGCACCTACACATCTGTCTCACTCTTATAAGCTCAGGGCCTCCCGCATGCAAAGCAGCACCAGGCTCAGAATGAAAAGCCAGTCCTGGCTGAGCAGCCCCAGTCTCCTCCCAAAGGAGCCTTCCCTGATCATGGAGCTCTTGGCTCTGTTCCTCTGCCTGGTGGCAGCACCCTGCTGTGAGTGGCTCTGCGTTTCAAGAGAGGGACCTGGGAACAGGGTGTCAGATATGTTTGACTGATGGTGATGCTCCTTGTCCTCAGGTGTCCTGTCCCAGGTGCAGCTGCAGGAGTCAGGACCTGGCCTTGTGAATCCTTCAGAAACCCTGTCCCTCACCTGCACAGTCTCTGGATTCTCTTTAAGTAGTTATGGTGTGCAGTGGACCCGTCAGGCCCCAGGGAAGGCAATGGAATGGGTTGGTGGTATATGGAGCGGTGGAAGCATATATTATAACCCCGACCTTAAATCTCGAGTGAGCATCAGCAGGGACACTTACCAGAGCCAAGTTTCATTAACACTGAGCAGCCTGAGATCTGAGGACACTGCTGTGTATTACTGTGCAAGATACACAGTGAGAGGAGATTAGTGTGAGCCCAGACATAAACCTCTCTGCGGGGGAGCTCAGAACCAAAGGGGTCACAGGACACACTGAGCTCCTGTCATACCCAGGACCAGGTGCAGTTTCCTGAGGCTGCTTTGCAGTTAGAATCTGTGGTTTTCTTTTCCTTTCTTCAGTTTTGCTCAAAATGCTCTGCACTGTTTGCCTTGTAGAATCTTCTATTTTTTCTCTTGTTTAATTCAGTTTCTTTTTATTAGTACATATCTACAGTAGAATCTGTACACGTTCATCCTAGGGTGTTGGCGTATGTACACAACACTAGATTCAATGTTTTTTTTTTTTTTTTTTTTTTTTTTTTTTTTTTGGCAGAACCGGGTATTGAACTCAGGTCCCTGCACTTGCCAGGCAAGCACTTATTCCATTGAGCCATCTCCCCAACACCCCCCCTTTTTTTTTTGTGTGTGTGTGCACACGCGCGGCCGGCTTTGCCTCCCCAGGGGGCAGGCCTGGCATGGCATGTGTTGCTGGAAATCGAACTGTGGTCACTGCATTTGTCTAAGATTGCCTAAGCAGGGGCTTTAGACTTCTGAGCCATCTCACCAGCTCCTAGATTTTCTTTAAATCTCCTTCCTTGTTCCTTGTGCCTTTCTTTGTCCTTGTCTGAATCTCATTTCCTTATTTTTTGGTTTGATTTTTTGATGCTATCACATGTTTACAATATACAGTGTTTACATTCATTCAGATGTATTTAATTCATGGACATGTCATATCCGTATTCTACTCATTTTCCTGTCCTGTCTCTCACTTTTCTTACCCATTTGCTCTTGGCACCATCCTCATTGTGAGAAGTTAACTCCCTTTCTTTTTCTACTCAACCTTTCCTGTACTATTTGTACTTTGCCTTCTGCAGGTTAGAAGTGCCATGTGATATTTAAGCCTGATTTATACTACTTCATAGCGTATTTTCAAGGTTTACCCAGCTTTCTACAAATGTCTGTGATTTGTCCTTCTTTATAGCTCAGTGGCATTCCTTGAAGAACAGTCCGCACTTCCCTCATCTTCTGATGCACATAGAGGTAGCTCCAGGATTGAGTTCTTAGGAATTGTGCTGTGGTAAGCATTAGTATACACAGATCACTGCAATATGCTGTGTTAGCTCTTTTGAAATGATAGCTGGAAAAATTATAGCTGGGTCATATATAATTTCTAATTTTAGCCCTTTGATGAATTTCCATAGGAGCTCCATATTGGTTGTCCTAGTTCATATTCTCCTCAACAATGAATGTGTGTTCCTCTTTGAATGCAGTGATTTCAAAAATCTTCACTTGTTGAGTTGATGATTGCCCTTCTTTCTTCTTGTGTGGAATGGAGTCTTAGCAACTTTTTTTTTTTTTTTGCATTTCTCTAGAGGTCAGGAGTGATCAACACATTTTGTTTTATTTTTCAGCCACTTTTATTTCTTTTTTTAAGAACTCCCTGTAGATTTCACAAGACTATTTGTAAATTGGATATTTTAAGTGATTTTAAAAAATTCTTATACATTGTAGGTATTATTTCTCTGTCTGAAGAAGAACTGGAAAAATTGTCATTTTGCACTTTGTCTCTTCACTCAGCCTATCGATTTTGTTTGCTGTGTGAAAGCTTTTTGACTTGAACCCATCTCATCTGCTGATTCTAGTTATTTACTGATCAGTTTGGGTTCTCTTTAGGGAATCTCTCTTACACTTATAATTTCAAGTGTTTTCCATGTTATATTTTCCAACATGTACAGTATTTCTTTTTAATGTTTAATTTCTTCATTTTGATTTTGGCTCATTTCATGGTGAAATTATGGGTCCAATTTCAGTCTTGAGGTAAGCAGGTATCCAGTGTTCCCAGGGCCACTTTTGCATAGATTCTTTCTTCTTTTATGCATTTGGCTCTGTTCATGAAGAGGAAATAATTGACTGTGTCTCAGGATGATTCTCTATCCTCTGTTTTGTTTATTGAAAATTACAAGCCTCTAAAAAAAGAGACCAAAGATTTCAGAAAATGGAATGATATTCCTTGCTCCTGGTTAGGAAGAACAAACATTGTGAAAACTGCCATAATCCCAAAATTATTATAAAGATTTAGTGAAATTCCAATCAAAATACATCTCTGCACCTCACAGATCTAGAGAAAACATCCTTAAAATATATTTGGACACAGAAAAGACCTACTATAACAAATCCAATCTTGGACAACAAAGGCAAGGCAGGAGGCATTACAATCTCTGACTTGAAATTATACTACAAAGCTACTGTGATAAAATCATTATAGAACTGGCAAATAAAACCTACCCAAGATTCAGTGGAACAGATTAGAAGATGCAGATCCACCTACAAACACACTTAGCCATCTTATCTTTGATAAAGTAGCCAAACATTTTCACTGGAAGAAAGATAGCCCTTTGACAAATGGTGCTGGAAAAACTGGCTCTCCACATACCAAAACCTAAAATGATACTTCACTAAAGTAAAGTCAAGATGTTTTACAGATCTAAACATTAAATAGAAACACTAAATCTCCTGGAAGAGAAAGTAGCTGGAAATCTTGAAAACATAGGAGTAGGCAGACAGTTCATCAACAAAAACCAAACTGCATGGGAAATACTGCAAAGAATCAACAACTGAGATCTCATATTATCGAGAGGTTTATGCATGTCAAAAGAAAATACCAACAGAGTGAAAAGACAACCCACAATTTGGAAAAACTCACAACAAAAAATCCCTCAGATAAAGACTTCTGTCTAAATTATATAAAGAACTAAAAAAAAATTCCCCCTAAAAATTTAAAGACACAAATCAAAAATGGGTATTTGGAGTCAAGCGGAAGACCCAATACTATTATGGGCTACGGGACTCTTTTAGAATATTTTCTGAGTTTACACACCTGTAATATTCAAATAATGGAACTTAACAAAAAAAGAGATACAGATGAATGTCCATTTTGTATCTGTGTATCAAAGTGGTTGGGATAGATATATAGTTACAGTCTTTTAATGAATAGAGCAATTTGTTCTAATGGTGTTTGTAAATAGGATATCATATCCGCATTTTGAACAGCAATTAACCACTAGGAAGAATGTATGCAACTTGTTAATTATTGAAACTGTCCTACCAATTTGATTTGAAACTGTCTCATTGCTATTTGTTTCTCAATAAAATTATGGGAAAAAAGGGCATTTGGGATGCATACATACTTCTCAGTGGAATAAATACAAGTGGCAAATAAATATATTAAAAAATGTTCCACAGGACTGGCCATTCAAGAAATACAAATTAAAATAACACTGAGATACCATTTTATCCCAGAAAGAATTGGTATATAAAGAAATCAACTAATAACAAATGCTGCAGAGGTTGTGGGGTAAAGGGAACCCTTTTCAACTGTTGATGGGAATGTAGACTGGTGCAATGACTATGGAATTCAGTGTGGAAATTCCTCAAAATAAAAAAAAAAGGACTGGAAATCCCATTCAATCCAGCTGTTCCTCTTCTGGGTATTTTCCCAAAAGACCTGAAAACATCATACCATAGTGATATACATGAACCCATGTATATAACAGCACAATTTGTTACAGATAAATCTTGCAAACAACCAAAATGCCCATCATTTGATGAATGTAAGAAAAAGTTGTATTTTTATACAAGGGAGTACTACTCAGCTGTAAAGAAAGACAAACTTGAAACCTTTATATGTAAGTGGATGCAGCTAGATTCTACAGTTATAAATGAAATAAATCAGACTCATATGTGTAAATATATTGTCTCCCTAATGTAAGAACCTGAAAGAAAAACTTGAAAGGTATAATAGATATAGTAAAATGGAAAGAAACTGAACTAAAGATTTAAACAACAAAGATCAGGGAAAGGAGAAATGATAGAAAAAAGGGATGAAGGAAAAACAATTCATGTATTGATACAGGATGTCTGAGGTGATTGTGCTATAAGTTCATTTAGCAGTTAATGTTTAGAATTTTCATCTTGACTAACGCTGTATGATGATATCTGCGATTTGAGCAACTACATGAAGGACAGCAATGTGTAATTGAAAACCTACAGTTGAATGCTCTCATTCTGATTTTCCAAATGTGTAAGGTTTCTAATGTCTTATTCATTTTTATACTCTCTTTAAAATAAATTAAAACAAAAAAGGACAAAAGAAATAAGATTTCTTGAAAGCAAGTGCCAATATCCAAATACTTCCCTAATCTTGCACAAGTATATGTTACTCTGAGCATCAGATTTGATGATAAAAATAGATACTATAACAGCCATTGTTAATTGGCTATTCCTGTTTTTTTAATTAATTTATTCATTTAGTGTGTGTGTGTGTGTGTGTGTGTGTGTGTGTGTGTGGCCAGCTCAGCCCACCAGGGGGTGGGGCTGGCTGGCATGTGGTGCTGGGGGATTGAAC